TCACCTATGATTAAGGATTCCCGAGGGAATCCGAAACGTCAGCCAAATAAAAATCCTGTTCCAGTGATCGCATCCTCTTCTTCTGAGTTCTTGGACCTTATATCTTCGGTCTCCTTCGCTACAGTGAAGCTGGGTGGAGCTCTCCAGATCCGCTGCCGCCAATTATCACCCATGGAGAGTTACGGTCCGTGATATACTTGACGTCGGCTAGATCAGGCATGAACACATCCGTAACATGTACAAATAAGTACCGAATGTCATAAGGCTTCCAGAAACCAAACGCCCAGTGCGTCAGAGTAGACAAAGAATTCAAGCCCTCTTTATGGAACGTCTTTTTGTTTTAAAATTAAGGATATGTTTATCACAAGGATAGTTGTCAAGAAGCTAGGCAACAAAAAGATGTGTTCCAACAGTCAGTTAAATTAAAGAGAACCGAAAGGGAAAGGCACCGGCTGTAGGCACATAACTTAGGAAAGCAATGGTAATGGGCGTTGGAAGTATAATTTCAGAGACATCATAATGCTTCTCAGATTATGAGTGAAAGTGAATGTACCGGCTTTGTTTCAGTTCCAACTAATGCTTCTAACAGTGCCCTGTGCAGCATTACTGCAGCCTGGTAGACATGTATCAGAATGAAGAGAGCGTTCTTCAGGAAAAAAAAGTAGATTCGTGTGCTATAAATCTGGTACTCGAAATTGAATTTTATCCGCCAATACAGAAAAGGCACATCCTGGATCAGGATTGGCAACATGATTCCCCAAAGCTCAATTTTGAAGAAGTGACAAATAGGCCCCGAACAATCGCAACAATTTTTGCGTCCTAGGCCTGCTTCCATCTCCGACGGGGAGTTTGGGTGGCCATCGTCTTCGTTTTTAGAACCGCGCAGGCAGCAGTGTTGATTGGTGCCTATAGTTCCCCGTCGCAACGGAGAACGGGCGTCAACTCTTAGGACATTTTTAATGAACAGGTGAAATAGGCTGGCAGGCCATATGAAAAGGATCATGAGCCATAAATCAACAATATCAGACAGGGGCTCATCCATGAGCTCAAAAATCTCAAAGATGTCAGCTGCACTGCAAAGGTTGATAAGCAGAAACACAGGAAGCTGATCGTAGCTGAAAGCAGAGTGCGGCAACATCCAGCGGACGATACTGGCACTAACAAACGGAAAAAGTTCCATTATACGAACCAGAGTTTTCGCTGGAGGATAGTAAATTAATTCGTCCTAAAAATGGAGAACATAATATTGGAAGAATACGGACTGAAAACTGTCCTCGACTACATAAAATATCGCTATGTATTGTGAATAGAAGCGAAAATCCGAGTCCCTGGGCGGTAACGAGATAAAAGAGCGATCACGGGAAGCACAGTTTCATATTCCGGTCGTTTTAAAAGCGTACAGGCTTCCCTCATCAGAGGTGGGAGTTGAACCGCGCCTCACATTATTTATAGTAAGTGAAAGTCATAGTCAATAAGGTTTACTCCAGTGTAGAGGAAGGGGGGCGGGAGGCAGGGAAAGATGCTCGATCATCGACGCCTTAAAGCGGATTGGCCTCAGTCATGGCTCTCCCGTCGGGTTCTGTTGTTCGCGCTTGTGCAGCTGTCATGGGCCTAAGCTGTTTTCCGAGGCCAGTAATCCTGTTAGTGTTCGCACGTTCATTCGGTTTCGCGCATGCAGGATGAACGGATGCCCATTCAAATAATCTCGTAGCAACCGTCAAATAGCTTCTCAAACAAACCAGAGAATCAGAGTAAACAAAATGCCTCATTCGCCAACAGGAAACAACCCTGTTAGGGGCGCACAAACCGCGCGAAATCATTATGCGAAGAGATGAGAATACGTTTAAAATATTGAGAGCTGACATCAGCATCGTGATTCTTCTAGCAGACAAAGGACGTTACATAGTTCTGTTAGATAAGACTGACTACATTTAGAAGGCGAACGCCCTGCTGGAGGACCGGAAATCATACCACACATGCGACGATGCACCGACGAGGAAGTTGGTGATACAACTGGACAAATTGCTCACCAAAATGGCTACGTATCCGCACTATAACCGGAAAAAGCAATCATCCGC